ATCAAATTCCGCACAACAAAACACCATAGACAAACTCTATTATTTTTTTTAAAGAATTTTATTAGTAGTTGACTCTCTTCCTTCTTTTAGTGGGCCCAGAAAAAATCAACGACCAAAGATAAAAAGTATACTACTACTACCTTCATTTATTTTACTGATTAAGTATACTATTTTTAAATGTACAATAAATACTTGTTAAATTTATAAATCAATAAATAATTTATTATGTCATGTTTATTTTATTCTTATTATTATATATAATTTATTTTTCAATGTTTAGATAACTTAAATTTTATAAAGTGATTTGGCAAAATAATCCTTATCAGTAATCTATATGTCAAGTTTATAATAAATAATTATTGTTGAATCGAGGGAGGAAGTATAAATAATTTGAATCACCATCCTAGGTGTGAATTCAATTTCTAATATCTTTGACCTTGGAGTTAAATTATTTTTTTATATGAATTACTTCCAATATTTTCTCTATTTCACATTAATGAAGATTGTTTTGTCATTTTTCAGTTTACTCCACAGCCACAAAGGGTACAACTCTGATATCTATCTGTATTATTGACTTTAGAGTTGGCAAAGGAAGACTTTGAAAAATAATATATGTAAGCATTGTTTATTACTTTTTCTGTCTCAATTTTTATGAAATTAGTTGACTTGATAAAAATTTCAGAAAGAAAAAGAAAGATTTTTGAAATTTGTGGTCCTAAATTACTACAAATCATTTAATTAAGGGAAAAGAGAAATTTTAAAGTTAAATTGTATCGAATTATCGTAAAGTGACATTCTCTTTGGAATTACTGATAAAAGAAAGTGTGCTACATAAATTGTGACAGATGGAGTACTTATTTTTATTTCACTCTAAGTCTTGAAACAAATCATAAAGTTATCTTCGTATGACTTGATATCATGAGCTCAAGCCGTGTAAGTCGTTATTAATGCTAATACTAAGGTAGACCGTTTACTACGGCCCTTCCCCGAACCCTGTTAACTTGGGATGCTTTGTGCACCAGACTTGTCTAGTTGAATTCGGTTGCAGCAAGTGTTGAATACAGTTATTGAACATTGCTTAATAAATACTTTCACAATTGATGCAAGGGTAGACTTTGACTTAGTTTCAAAAAATGTATATATCAAGTAATGAACACTCCCTTTAACCAGCATTCAAACCTTCATTTGTTTCTTGCAAAAATAAAATAAAAATGGATACCAAACAACACTACAAATCAACTCATTTGCTTTTGATTTGTCTATCAATATTGATCCTGCATCAATGCTCAGCTTTTGGATCAATGTTAAGAGGGGGTCATGCAAACGTTTTGTGCATAACAAAGGAGAGGGAAGCTCTTCTCGAGTTCAAACGAGGTCTCGTAGACGAACATAACATGCTTTCTTCATGGAAAAATGAGGAATGTTGTTCTTGGAGTGGTGTGAAATGCAGTAACACAACAGGCCATATACTAGTCCTGAATCTTCGTGGTAACTTCGACACGTCTTTGACAGGTAATATCAGTTCATCATTGGTTAAGTTGCAGTATTTGAAGTACTTGGACCTTAGTTTCAATGATTTTGGTGGACAAATACCAAAATTTATCGGTTACTTCGAAAGACTAGAGTACCTTAATCTCTCATCTAGTTTCAAAAACACTGGTCTAATTCCAATTCAGTTCCAAAATCTAGCACACTTAAAGACTCTTGATCTTAGTTTAAATTCTTTAACAGTGAAAAGCCTTGAGTGGCTTTCTAATCTAGTGTATTTGGAGTACTTAGATCTTCGTTTTTCCAACGTGCAAGCGAAAAACTGGTTACAGGAGATAATTAAGCTTCCTAATTTGAGGGAGTTGTATTTATCAGCCTGTCAACTCCCTGTAATCATTCCTTCATCACTTGTATCAACCAATATTTCCTCGTCTCCTCTTTCGATCCTTGATATCTCCTATAATGGATATTCGTCCCCTGCAATAAATAGTTGGTTATTTAACCTCACTAGTCTTACTAGCCTAGATCTTACGGGTAACGAGTTAGGACAACTGTCTAGTGGCTTTGGGTACTTGAAGTCTTTGGAACATCTTAAGCTATTTGGAAGTGGTATTCAAGGTGGGATACCAAAGTCTTTTGGGAGTTTAAGTCGTTTACGCTATATTGATGCAGATTCCAATAACTTGTTAAGTCAACCATTTTCTGAGTTGCTTGATAACTTAGCTGGGAGTAATCAATCACTTGAATATCTGTCGTTTGAGGAAAATGCACTCACTGGTTCATTGATTAATCTTACTAGATTTTCATCCTTGAGGAAGTTAAGGCTACAAGGAAATTCGTTGAATGGCATTTTCCACGAAAGTTTCAGACAAATCTCCAGTCTTGAGTATCTTGATTTGTCTAATAACCAAATGACAGGGCCATTACCAGACTTGGAATTCTTTCCATCATTGACAGAGTTGAACTTACAGTCCAATCACTTTTATGGAACGATACCACAAGGTTTAGGGAAACTTTCAGAGCTTAAAATCTTGGATGTGTCTTTCAATAGACTGCAAGGCTTACCGGATAGCTTGGGGAAACTTTTCGACCTTGAAAGTTTTGATGCTTCTAATAATTTGTTAGAAGGTACAATCTCTGAATCCCATCTTTCCAACCTTTGCAAGTTGAAAAGCTTAAACTTGTATTCCAACTCATTGACTTGGAATGTTAGCGTTGATTGGATTCCGTGTTTTCAACTTCAAGTTATCAGCCTTTCGTCTTGTAATCTTGGACCGTACTTCCCAAAATGGCTTCAAACTCAAAATGAGTACTCAGTTCTGGATCTATCTCTTGCTAGTATCTCAGACACAATGCCTAGTTGGTTCTCAAAGTTGCCTCCCATGTTAACATACTTGAATCTCTCGTACAACCAAATCAGCGGAAAGATACAAGATTTATCATCCAATAATATCAGTCCCATTATCATAGATTTTGGTTATAACAATTTTTCAGGACCCTTACCAACATTTCCTCAACTGGTTAGTCAATTGCGTATTGACAACAATCAGATTTCTGGATCACTTAACTCCATATGCAAAATTCGTTCAGCTGTAACACTTGACTTGTCCGATAATCTCTTGTCCGGAGAGATTCCTGATTGTTGGACTCTCATGTCTGCTCCAATGGTCCTTAACTTAGCCAATAACCGTATATCTGGAAGCATTCCGTACTCTCTTTGTTCTTCGACATCCTTGAGCTCTCTATACGTGCGTAACAACAATTTAAGTGGACAGTTTCCTGCCTCTTTGAAGAATTGCAAAGGTTTGAAAGTCTTGGATTTGGGAAGAAACACATTTAGTGGAGAAATCCCAGAATGGATAGGGACTGAGTTAGCTTATTTGGGGATTCTGAGCCTTCGATTCAACGAATTCTCTGGGAGCATTCCTCCAAGTATATGTCAGCTTCAATCTATTCAGATACTGGACCTTTCTGGCAATCGTTTATCAGGAAGAATTCCGAAATGCCTCAGCAATTTCACCACAATGCAACTTTTGCAAGATGGTTCAAGTGTGAGCTATGACTTCGATCCATACACCCCTCGAGTAGGTACACTGTACCATGGCAATGCATTAGTCCAATGGAAAAACAAGGAGTCAGAGTATCGTAACATCTTGTGGCTTCTGAAAACCATCGATCTGTCTAGCAACGAACTAGTCGGTGACATCCCAAATGATTTTAGCAGAATGAATGCATTGCTGTCATTGAACCTATCAAGGAACAATTTGTCGGGAAGTATCATTGAAGGAATTGGTTTAATGAAGATGTTGGAGTCTCTTGACTTGTCGAGGAACCATCTCTCGGGGAAGATCTCAGTAGGGCTCGCTAACCTGACGTTTCTTAGCGTGTTGGATTTGTCAAACAACAACTTGTCAGGGAGAATACCATCGAGCACTCAATTGCAAGGCTTCGACTCCTCAACCTATGAAGGGAATATTCAGCTATGTGGCCCTCCTCTTCCAGAGTGTCCTTCATTTGCTCCTCCAAATCTTCATGTTGGTCATGACAGTAGTTTTCAAGAAAATGATGATGATGATGATGAGTTTCTATCAAGAGAGTTTTATATATCGATGGCGTTAGGGTTCATTGTTGCATTCTGGGGAGTGTTAGGATCTTTGTTCTTCAACAATTCATGGAGCAATGCTTATTTTCAGTGGCTCTATCTTTAGCTCAATATGTAAATATTCTATGAATGGCTTGTAATCAAGAGAACTTCTTGTATATCTGATATTATAACTTCTTTTAAATTCTGGTAATTCTACTTGATGATACTCTTTCTCTCCCGATGCAAGGATCAACACCGAGTGAGAAATCAAAAAAAATAATATGATAATTCCACTATACAACTAGCCTCTTTTCCTCCTCACCACTATTTTTAGGCATAATATGTATTTGGACATTTTAACTTGATTGACAACGGAACGTTTCAACAGTGAAAATTAGACAAAAGCATTTTATTAATCCATGTATACATCATCTATAGACAAATCATGACATATAAAATAGATGCATTTTTTCATGATTAGAATATAAAATTTAGTCATCAGGCCCTCAGTTTTGCCTTCAATCTTGCAAAGCAGATTGCTGATGAAAGATAAAGCCAATTCTGACATCCATTTAACCACTTGAAGTAGGCATTCCTCCATGAATCATTGAAGTACAAAGAGCCCAAAATTCCCCAAAACGCGACAATGAAGCCCAATGCCATCGAAATATAAAACTCTTTAGAAGGAAACTCATCATCATCATCATTTTCTTGAGAAGTTCTGTCAAAGACAACATGAGGATTTGAAGGAGCAAATGTAGGACATGCTGGAAGAGGAGGTCCACATAGCTGAATATTCCCACCATAGGTTGAAGGATCAAAGCCTTGCAATTGAGTGCTCGACGGTATTCTCCCTGACAAGTTGTTTTTCGACAAATCCAACACACTGAGAAATGTCAAGTTAGCCAGTCCTATTGGGATATTCCCCGAGAGATGATTCACCGACAAGTCAAGAACCTCCAACATGTTCATCAACCCAATTCCTTCAATGATATTTCCTGTCAAATTGTTCCTTGATAGGTTCAATGACAGCAATGCATTCATTCTGCTAAAATCATTTGGGATGTCACCGATTAGTTCGTTGCTAGAAAGATCAACGGTTTTCAGAAGCCACAAGGTGTTACTGTATTCTGATTCCTTGTTTTTCCATTGAACAAATGCATTGCCTTTGTACACTAAAATTCCTCTACCGGCAGTTGGATTGAAGTCATAGTTCACACTTGAACCATCTTGCAAAAGTCGCAGCGTGGTGAAATTGCTGAAGCATTTTGGGATTCTTCCGGATAAATGGTTGCCAGAAAGGTCCAGTATCTGAATAGATTGAAGCTGACATATACTTGGAGGAATGCTACCAGAAAATTCGTTGAATCGTAGGCTCAGAATGCCCAAACCAGCCAACTTAGTCCCTATCCATTCTGGGATTTTCCCACTTAATCTATTTCGTCCCAAATCCAAGACTTTCAAACCTTGGCAATTCTTTAAAGGGACAGGGAAATGTCCACTTAAATTGTTGTTACGGACGTATAGAGAGCTCAAGGATGTCGAAGAACACAGAGAGTACGGAATGCTTCCAGATATATGGTTATTGGCTACGTTAAGGACCGTTAGAACAGACATGAGAGCCCAACAATCAGGAATCTCCCCGGACAAGAGATTATTGGACAAGTCAAGTGTTACAGGTGAACGAATTTTACATATGGAGTTAAGTGATCCAGAAAACTTATTGTTGTCAACACGCAATTCACTAACCAAATGAGGAAATGTTGGTAAGGGTCCTGAAAAATTGTTATAACCAAGATCTATAACAATGGAACCGATATTATTGGCTGATAAATCTTGTATCTTTCCGCTGATTTGGTTGTAAGAGAGATTCAAAAAGTATAACATGGGAGGCAACTTTGTAAACCAACTAGGCATTGTGTCTGAGATACTAGCAAGAGAGATATCAAGAAATGAGTAGCTATTTTGAGTTTGAAGCCATTTTGGAAAGTACGGTCCAAGATTACAAGACGAAAGACTGATAACTTGTAGTTGAAAACATGGAATCCAATCAACACTGACATTCCAAGTCAACGAGTTGGAAGACAATTTTACACTCTTCAAGTTGCAAAGATTGGAAAGATGAGATTCAGAGATCGTACCTTCTAACAAATTATTAGAAGCATCAAAACTTTCAAGATCGAAAAGTTGCCCTAGACTTTCCGGTAAGCCTTTCAGTCTATTGGAAGACACATCCAAGATTTTCAGCTTGGAGAGTTTCCCCATACTATCCGGTAAGCCTTGCAATCTATTGAAAGACACATCCAAGATTTTAAGCTCCGAAAGCTTCCCTAAACCTTGTGGTATCATTCCATAAAAGTGATTGGACCGTAAGTTCAACTCTGTCAATGATGGAAAGAATTCCAAGTCTGGTAATGACCCTGTCATTTGGTTACTAGACAAATCAAGATACTCAAGACTGGAGATTTGTCTAAAGCTTTCATGGAAAATGCCATCCAGCGAGTTTTCTCGTAGCTTCAATTCCTTCAAGGATGAAAATCTAGTAAGATTAATCAATGAGCCAGTGAGTGCATTTCCCTCGAAGGACAGATATTCAAGCGATTGATTACTCCCAGCTAAGTTATCAAGCAACTCAGAAAACGGTTGACTTAACAAGTTATTGTTACTAGCATCAAGAGAGCGTAAACGACTTAAATTTCTTAAAGACCTTGGTATCCCTCCTTGAATACTATTACCAAATAGATTAAGATGTTCCAAAGATTTCAAGTAGCCAAAGCCACTAGCCATTTTGCCTAAATCATTGCTCGAAAGATCTAGGCTAGTAAGACTAGTGAAGTTAAATAACCAACTATTTATTGCAGGGGACGAATATCTATTAGAGGATATATCGAGGATGGAAAGACGAGAGGAGGAAATATTAGCTAAGATAAGTGATGAAGGAATGATTTTGGGGAGTTGACAACCAAACAAATGCAATTCCCTCAAATTTGGGAGCTTACTTATCTGTTGCAACCAGTTTTTGGCTTGCACATTGGATAAACTTAGATCTAAGTACTCCAAATGCACTAGATGAGAAAGCCACTCGAGGCTATTAACCGTTAAATAATTGCCACGAAGATCAAGAGTCCTTAAGGAGGTAAGGTTTTGGAGCTGGAGAGGAATTAGACCAGTAAAAACTCTGTATGTAGATGTGAGATTTAAGTACTCCAATCTTTTGAGATATCCAATGAATTTTGGTATTGGCCCGTCGCCTCCAAAATTATTGGAACTAAGGTCTAAGTACTTCAAATACTCCAACTTAACCAATGAAGAAGTGATGCTGCCTGTCAATATGAGATCCTTATCAGGACCATCAGGGTTGGATTCAATTGTACCTATACGAAGATTAAGGACGAGTATACGACCAGTTGTATTACTGCATTCCACACCCCTCCAAGCACAACATTCCTCGTTTCTCCATGATGAAAGAAGATTATATTCATCTATGAGACCTCGTTTGAACTCGAGAAGAGCTTCCCTCTCCTTTCTTATGCACAAAATTTTCCCTCTTGAGATTGATCCAAAAGCAAAGGTTTGATGCATGATCAGACAAATCAAAAGGAAATGAATTGGTTTGTAGTGTTCTTTAGTATCCATTTTTTTGTTGTTGTGAACGAGGATTTGAATGTGAGGGTGAAAAAAGGAGTGATCACTAACTGTTGTATGCATCCATTTCAAACAAAGTCAAGTCAACTCATTTTTTTTTGTAATATATATGGTCTTTTTTGGGGGCTGATACAAAGATTCGGTTTATTAAAATGTAAGATAAAAATTTCAAGTTTATTAATTTTGAACTTAATATTATCTTATTATTAGGTTTTAGTAAAACACGTTAAATGTTAGTAGTTGTACAAGACACATATCATGAATTTGTGTAATTTCATGTTATAAATTACAAAAATAATTAACACACTTTTTATTTCACTTATTTTTATTATCACCTATCATTTTTAAAAATCTTCAAAATTTCTTATTTTTTTTAATGTAACCGAGCTGCATATTAATGTATTCGAGTCAGTATTTAATGTATCCAAAATATACGATCTACGTATTAATGATATGAAACTTAGACTACTTGTTATTTGCATTATTTTCAAACAAAGTCAAGTCCACTCATTTTGTAATTTATGGAAGACTTTGTCGGATATTTATGAAAGACTTACCAATGCTTTTATGAAGATAGAGAGACTATTTTTTGATATTAGACAAAGACTCGTTAGGAATAAATTATAGAGTGACCCTACTTTGATAAGAAGATTCATAACATTTTAACATCTTCTTTTCTATAATATTAGTTGGACTAGTAGCATAAACAAGTAGCTGGAGTCAAAAAGAAGATGGACTATTTGACTTTTATTCCAAAATAAATTACTAAGAAAAGCAAAATGGGAGAAGGGTTCAATATTAGTGTAGGCCATGGTGAATAATGTTAATGTGAATTGATAAATTTCCATGGGCCAGGGCTAAAGCTTTTCATTTTTTTTTATTTTTTTAATAATAGTGATGCTCGGATCATTCAAAATGGACCTTAATTTCATAAAAGAATATGTTACTTTTGAAACACGAATAAAAATAGTTTAATAACAAATCTTAATCATCCACAAAGTTCAAACATTTAATACACGTCAAAGTACATCAATTTTAATCAATTGAACGTGTGAACTTTTTTTTTCTTCTGTAATCCTAACTTTATTATATATAGTTTAAATTGTCTTTCAATGTTTTTCGCTTTGATTTATTCAAATCAAATATGTCAAATTGTAGGAAATCTCTTAGTCAAATAAATTTTTTTTAAAAAATGCTTTTATAAAGTATGTATAGATTTGTAGTGGTAAATTTTCGATTTAACTTTAACTTAGTGAATCAAAGCATGAAAATAATGAATATTCTCGAAAAATGAACGAAAAAAGGAATAATAATCATATAACTAATGTTTATACGAGAAAATTGGAGTGACAATGAATAAATCGATCCGTTATTAATTTATCTCTACGAAAATTCAATGTTAGTAAGTATGGATAGGTCTTGTGTAGTTGAGTGATGCAAATACTATAATTAAGTTAATGTTGTCCAAGTGGAAGAATATTATAATTATTTATTAATTGTGGACTTAACATTATCTTATTATTAGGTTTTAGTAAAACAGGCTAAATATTTGTAGTTGTACAAGACACGGATAATGTATTGTAAAAATTAGGCAAATCACATAGTATAAGAAAAATATTACTTCCTATCCTTACTCTTTCATTAATTATCAAAGATATTTTTTGTAGTGTTTTTCGGATACATAATATTGTAGGCGGATACTTTAATTAATAACAGCCTGATACTTAAATTATTAAGTTGTTCTTATCAGTGTAAGCGTTAAATAGGGATTAAAACATAAATTATAATTGATTCCCACAAATCACGCGTACGTTTCTTTCTTCAACCAATCCGTCATAAACCTCTAACTAAATTATAATTTTTTCAATCTTAAATTGTGAAACCTTCTTCCTGTTCTTCGAAAAAACAGTAAAAGTTTAATTCAAACAATTTTGAAACACAATTTTGTGAAGATTCTAAATGAATATTTCCATCTTGTTAAGACATTTGTGATCACGGGAAAGTGATGTTAAGTGCGAGCAATGTGATAGTGGTTGGAGATAATATTTCGTTCGTAAATCTTATTTCAGCAATTGCAGCTGAATTGAGCATATCGAGATCAGATAATTTTTTGAAGGTAATTCGTCTCCGTTGTGTATTCAGAATGATACGGGGGTGAAATTATACATAGAAATGAAGCAACATGAGGTAGGATACAGTATATATTCACTACGCATTGACACATCGAATGAAGAGATAAAAAGTTTTGATGCAACAATACGTGCAATTGTGTGTGTTGAAGGTGAAAAAATGAACACAAACATGTATTTTCTTTCTGAAAAATTCTTGATGCTTGTTTTTTAGAAGTACTTTTATGCTTCACTTTAATATTTCTCAATTTTGATATTTTATGAAGTACTTTTAGTTTACTATTTTATGAAGTACTTTTAGGCTACTATTTTATGATGCAATAAATAAAAAATGTTATGTTTTTAATTCTGATTACATTTTTTGATTCTTAATATTTGATAAACTTAGTTTGATATACATTGTTGTGTGTCTGATACTTAATTGTTTATAAATTTTGTATGAGATATAATAATAATATCAATAGTTGTGATGTGTGCCAAAGTTAAAAGAGACAACATGTAAAAAATGTACCATTTGAAGCAATGATATATCATATACATAATATTATTTGAGTAGCTTTATCTGTAGCTACTAGTTTCCCAACTGCTGGTGTTATAGACAACAGAGACTTCTTTGCAAACAAATTTGGACATAAGTTCGGTAAAGAAATCCAAATTATAGCTAACGTTGTTTCCTCCTTAGGATTTATCTAGTGGATCATGAAAAAACCTTGCATTGGTGCTCCTCTCCATTGTAGAGAAGATAGCTAAATAAGTGAGATAAATCTTGTACATAATCTTCATATTTATCACATCTCAACAAAATTTGTCTTTGAGCAAGTAAGCCCATTGCCCTTGGTACCATGATGTTTCGGTAAAATTGACCTTAATACCTTCAAATCTAGCGCACCATGGGATAATTTAAACAACACCGATTGATGCAATCCCTCTTCAATCATAAAGTCTTGTCTTTCTCCTCTTAAATCATTAAGTCTTGTCTTTCCTCCATTCAAAATGTGATAGTAGGTTCTCTATGAATTATTTTGATTGATTTTGCGATTGTTACTAAGTTAATTAGGACAAATTGTTTAGGATTTATAATATTGAAATTGAATAATGTTGCATATGTCGTGGTTTGGGGTGGTGGGGCGGGCTTGAGAGCCTCAAAAGGAGACCGTCCAGTGGTCGTAGTAGCCATGAGGGTTGCGCAACTGTTGGTTAGAAAGGAAACCCTAGGTCAATCGTTTTTTTTTGTTGAAAGGTGACGCCTAATTACTAGATTTGTCATTATCTACTATGTATAACAAAATAAGTAAGATGATTTTTACCGCCACTTGTATTATAAAAAAGTTTCATAAATCAAAGAAAAAAAATGAACAAAATGAATTTACAATTATATTCCATAAAGATGAATACCAAGCCATAAGTTATTTCTCATGTTCTAAGATGATCAGAACTGTAAAAAAAATTTTCACAATTGGTTTATCAATTCCTTAGGGAATTCATATCTATGCGGTCAAATTTGACTTCGAATTTGGCCTTCAAAACCTCAAAATTTATTTTTCATTGGTGTAAAATCTCAATTTTTACATCAAGTTCGTAGATCGAAGCATAAAAATAACTAATATTATTGAAAAATGGACTAAATAAAAGTATCATCATATATAACTAACGTTTGTACGAAAATTGCAGTGTTTTATGGCCACTATCTATTCAGCTCAAGAGTCAATTCCTATAAAAATAATTTTTTTTTTTGAAAAAATTATTGTTAAGTTAATGTTGTCCAAGTGGAGAATGTTAAAATTACTTATTAATTTTGGACTTAACATTATCTTATTATTAGGTTTTAGTAAAACGAGCTAAATGTTAGCAATTGTACAAGACACAAACTATGAATTTGTGTGGATTTAATTTCATATAGGCCTAAATTCATTTCATGTTATAGGTGTAGGCCTAAAATAATAAAGGTCTGTTGAACACTAGTGAGCCCATAATCGGAGACATTAGGTTAAAACTTTTAAATCTATAAATATGAGCCTAGCTAGATTCCCTCGTTTCGTTTAACCTAAAATGCATTTTCATACGGTGTCTGCCATCATAAGCTTAACAAAAGGAAGATCTAGCCTGACCCGTCTTCGATTGTTCATTGATATGCAAAATATTAGAGGTACATACTATTTTATGTGAAACATTCATTTGATTAACTACATCGTGGTTTACTCATTCGACCCGGGGACTTGGAGCTTCGGGATTTCTCAGATTCAGATTGGGCGAATGATAAAAATGACAGAAAATCTACATCGGGGTTTCTCCTGATCTCCTGGTGTACAAAAAAACAACCCAAGGTCTCTCGGTCCTCGACTGAAGCTGAATACCGCACCCTTGCTCTTCTTGCTGCTGAGACCATGTGGGTCACATATATTCTTCGCGAACTCCGCGCCACTCACACTGTTCCTGCTCTCTATTGTGACAACAAATCAACCATCTGTGTGGCCAAGAATTCCGTCCTACAAATCAGAATGAAGCATGTTGATACCGATTGTCTCTTTGTTTGCGATGAAGTTCAGGCCGGCACCATGACTG